TTGATGAACCGCAGCCAAGCTTCGCTCCTGGTTTATTAGGCTCGGCAGGCATAATCTCAGCTCTCGCAATGCTGCTTAAAAAAAAAGAACTATGTCGTCCGCAAAGTGAAGATCCAAGAGGAACCATCCACACGAATGCCACATTCGTCCCAGTCTGGCGAATTCATAACCCACTGAGGCGCAGCTCTGAGCAGCATCGGCAGAATAGAGTTGCCTCGCCTCACACCCTTTCCTATGGGAATGGGAAAAGGTCGTTGGAACAGCTTTGCCGTCGTGCTGCAGCGATTACCACCATCAGCTAGTGTTCTCATGTAGGGAGGGTCAACTACTTGATTGAAAAGAGGTGACAAGCCCACCCCGTCGCCATACCTTTAAACGCCGGAGAAGGCTGGATCTAGTGTGCGGGGTACTAAGGCTGTTTTATAGCTGTTTCAGTCCCCTAATCCAGGACGCGATGACTTAGACGTAACGTACACGGGCTTGCTCCGCACAACTTATCACGTGAAGAACGGATTCAACCGCGACCTCTGATGGACGGAAAAGGGGGACTCAAGCAAGAGGGCGCCATCCCTCCAGCTCCTCGCACACTTACTTCCTCAAAAAACATCATGTTACTGTTTTTGTAGAATCTCTTGAGGAACTATTTTGCGTAAAGATTTCTGAGGTGGAAAAATATAACAATGAACACAGTTTGAATATAAATGTAATATTATATATCCCGGCTAACGCCGGGCTTCCCTCCTCCTTATAACAAAGTTGTAATAATCGCCAAAGAGGCTCCTCATTTGGCACGAATAAATACTTCTCGGGACACGAATTCAGACAGAGTAGTAATAGGACATGCAGGTGGTTTTCACAATTCTCCTCGTTTACACAAAATCGTATCGTTTAACAAAATCGTTCAAATTTCAAACATTGCTGCTGAAAAACGCACCGCAACTTCGTTTTCTCTGTGAAGATAATTTCATTCGTCCTTCACTGATCAGGGAAGAACGAGCACTGCGGCGTGCTCATGGAGTTTTCCCATCACAACGCTCTACTCGATACTCCCCTTCTGCACCCTTACAAATCACAGTTTAATAATGAGTCACATCGTAGTTCAGTCAATAACACTGTATCACTTGATAAATCGTCGAACCATTGTATGTCTTCACCTATTAGTTATACTACTTCGGTTCGACAGTCGGAAAACGCTCATAATCTACTCGGAGAAAAGTTAATGAGCGACTGGGCACTCACATTTTACTCTCACGGATGTTCGTTCAGTTTTAAAGAGTGCAGAAGTTCTTGAATTAAATGTTACTAAGAATTCTCCTTTTATTGTTGCATTAACTGGAACTTGGTTGAAAACATCCAGTCGTATTGCTTCACACTCGGTGGTATATGCAGTTTTTACGATATTATTCAAAGCGGTAGAATTCGCAAAAAAGTGGAGTAGTTGCTCTACTTATAAATGAAGAGCCTGGGAACTATATATAAGTATAATTATACATTCCTCAAATCCCTCAACAAATACAGAGCTGCAAAGGTAAAGAAAATGTTGGAGTCTAAGATGCCGTCGGCTTTCTGTAAATTTCCAAACCAAGGTTAAGGATCAATCTCGTATCATACCCTCAGTCCTCAATGCAGGAGTGGCGTTCACTGATCATGAAAAAGTTGAAGTACTTGCTGAACATTTCGCCAGTATGTATTCTAGGATAAATAGAATCCCAACTATGGAAATTTCAATCTATCTCACAACATTCCTGAAGTTGTTTTTATGTTCGAAGTGAAAGGCGAGGCTTATGCATATGATTGAAGATTTACGCTGAAGTTAACCGTGAAAATGGTATGACAAAAATCGTCTCAGTGATTGATGCTTTGTATAAATGGTCCACAGATAGGAAACTCCCACTTTGCCTGGAAAAATCCGAGGCATTACACCTTGGTTCCAACAATGGCCATTTCCAACTTGAATGGACGTGACCTTATTGTAGTATCTTCCACCATGGATCTGAGAATCGATATTAACGGAAAACTTGACTTCTTTAAACATCATAAAAAAATCTCTACTGCAGCCCAAGAAAAGTTTATGATATATTTAGCGCACTAGAGACCTCCTTGCTGCTCATAAAACTTATGTCGGACCTATTTTGGGGTACGGCCCGACAGTCTTCAATCCCTCGAAACACCGTAATATAAATCAGTTGGAAGCAGTTCAAAACATTTTTACACGCAAATTGATTCTTCGCTGCCATAATTAACCTTAGACAGATGTGCCGGACTCTGCATCTCCTGACCGTCTTCTAGGTTCGAAGTCGCTACTATTCAGGAGGAGAATGAGCGATGTGATAATGGTCAACAAAGTAGTTCGTGGCCAAGTAAATATTCGATGTATTGATTCATTTCCTATGGTACCTTCAATTATTAGAAAAAGCCAAAGTGAGATAAAGTTCGAAGCAGCTCGTTTAAATCTTAGGTAAAGATTCCTTGGAAATCGCGTTGGATCAGGATACAATCACTTAACTAAGCATGACTCCCTCCCTTAATCGATGAGTGTCCTCAAAGCCAATAAAGCTATAGCGAATTGTATTCCTTATTTATATTATGCTGTATGTATCCTGTTGTGATTCTGTTTCTGTTGCCGTCTGACAACCAAACATGCTTGACATATAACAAATAAATAAATATATAAAATGTGCTGATGCTTATGCACATGACTAAAAATCTCGATGCGATATAAAAAAAATAATGACCCGATAAGGAAATGAGAATGAGTGAAGTTCCAACTTGTAATCAACCAAAGCCTTGACAATACTCACAAATGTTGTCGAGTCATAAAAACACCATTATCGAATGTCATCATCAGAACCTTCTTTTTTCTGTTGATATCCTTCTAAATTCATATGAAACGCTATGTTTGTCTGTTGGTTTGTCGGTGTGTGTCGGTGCTTATGTTTGACCAGAATTTCCTAATTCCTGTTCTCGTAGACCTAGAGTACTGAAAATTAATAGAAGTACAGGCTGCAGGATGGTAAGTAGCAGGACCAGACTTCGACCATAGCAAGCGGAGCGCGCGCAATAGAATTTCCCGACCGCAAACTTGTTAACTTGGACCTGAAGCATTGAATTTGGTAGCAGTACAGGCAGCAAGACGGAGCACTGATTATGTGCGATAGAGTGATGACAATTGGCAAGAGCTGATAAAGCGCCTTAATAGGCGAGAGTCACAGAACCCGTTACACCCTTCGTGTTAACGGTGAAGTCTCAGCACTTCAGTAAGGGATGTGGATCAAGAAGGGATCGTAGAAATTCAGTGATAAGGATTGATAATAACTGTCAGGGAATGATAACCAACCATAGAAGGCGAGACCCAGTGGATCCACAACGTATTTCATATTAAAAGTAGATGGAGCCTTTAGTAGGCGGTGTGGGATGTGAAGGGACCGAAGGTGACTGGTGACAAAGGCTTATGACAAGCGGCAAGGGCTGACGAAGAGCCTAGAAGGCTAGACCCATTAGCTTTGTAATCCCTTCGTGTTCACAGCGGAACCTTGGCACTATAATAGGTGATGTAGGATATGCCGTGGGTACTCTGTGACAGGAGCTGATCACAACTGAAAAGAACTGATAGGTGGCTTTGAGAGCAAGAGCCACTCACCGATTGAATTTTAATGACTTTAATAGCTCACAAACAAGTGTTGACTCTTTGACATGTTTCATTCAACAGACGGGATGTTAGAGTAGGATGACAAAAGCGAGTTGTAAGTCAGTGATGGGGGATTTGTAAAAGAAGGAAGGAAGCAAGATTACTAGCAGTCGGATAAGCCTTGCCAAGAAGTAATGAACCGATTTCCATTTCCCTATAATTTAGTAACCTTAATCGATCCCTATCACTGCACTTACCCTTCTTGTCGAATTGAACCCTCCAAGAGATCAAGACCTGCTGTAAAACAAACAAAGGTGTTAGGAATCAAATGTTCCCTAAGATCTCTCCTTTCGTCAGTGTTCCCATACTGTCGTCAGTGTTCGCTCTATGTCTCCTCTACTCCTACCAATTTTGAACCCTATAAGTCCACTGGAACAGGCGTTATGAAATTCCACTCAGACCCCGCCCTCTGACCCACTGTTGGAGGGGTCCGGTCCTGCCACCCACCGTGAGGGTTCCCATTCTGCCGCCTGTACTCCAACCAAACTTTAACACTCTAGTTCCATGAAGATGGAAGGTATGACTTTTCGCTCGAACAATTATTTCGCACAAATACCGCCCCTTGTAAGCGGAATCCGGTCCTGCCGCCAGCCATAAGTGTTCCCATCCTGCGCCTGTATTCCTTCCAAGTTTGATCGCTTTGGGTTCAGAGGACAGAAGTTATGGCTTCCCGGTCAAACACACACTCACGCACACCAACAGACACATATTTACAGTAGCGCTCGGAAGTATCCGGACGAAGGTGTGCTTCTTCACTCGTACTTTCCAGTCATAACTTCTTTGCTTCTCGACCTAATCAAGCGAAATTTGAATATGTGTAGTATTGGTGTAGTGTGAATATTTATCACTATTAAGCTGCACTTTGATTAGTTCCAAATATCCCAAAGAGCTTGAAATCAAAACCAACTAAAAATAGGGGCACCGGTGCCTATAGTTTTCCATTCCTTTTTGCCATGTTTAAAGTGCACGAGCGCTAATGCGGAACACAGAGGAGGAGAAAAACGTACATAAGGTTCGAATAACTGCAGAAGTCACAAACTTGCATTCAGCGTAGTCTACAAACGCCTTCCATTTGTTATGTGGACATTGCTGCTTTATAGTCAAATAGTGTGGATAGAGTGAAATATGCTTCAGTTGAACATGTCAAAATTCCATGCGATTTGCTCCACTGGGAAAAAGTTACGGCAAGTTAAAGTTGGCCCCAATACTTTCGAGCGCTACTGTATATATATATGTATATATATTATATATATACATATATATTATATATACATATATATACATTGTTAGATACATATATATATATATGAATCTAACAATGCCTTGCCATACCAACAAATCCACATTCGTTTGCCTTTTGAATTAAATCATTACCTCCAGAGAAAATCACAATAGTTTTCAACAGTGCATATTCCTCTGCAGTGATTTGAATTTCCTGGAAAGCTGTGGCGACATTGGTGTAAAGGTATTCCACTAGATCTTGGAGGAACTCGTTGAACCTGGATGGATGTGAGTTAGGGAAAGAATTCAATGAAATGGTAAGGGGATAATAAATCATCAAAATGGGCTCACTCAGGATCCTCTCTCTTTTGAGATAGTGAGTATCTGAACCCGTGTGGGAAAAAAATTCCTTTATAGTTGTTCAGATATGCATTATAAACCATCATCAGTAAAAAAACGCCACAATAATTTGCACTGCAGACAGAAAGCTGAAAGGAGCATCCATCATTTCATCTTTTTACAAATTTTAGAGCTCCCTAAAGTTACCAAAATGAACCACTACAATTTTTTTTCCGGAAGACGAAAGTATTTATTACTCGATCTTTCATTTCCAGGAGGTACAGCTCTGGGCTAACAGCAACGAAATCGGCAAAATGGGTGATAGAACGGCAATACCCTTGCTTGAGTGCGTCCAGAATGTTGTTTCGCTCGAAAAATGGGTCCTCATTCCATCCAATCTAAAAAGGAAACATTTTACGTTCTACTTCACTTCATATTTATAGTTTCTGGGCGTTCTAACCGGTGTTCTTTCGCAGCAAATATGCGGTCTCTCGAGCACTTCTAAAAGTGACATGTTCAGCGAATACTCAAACGGTCCCCGAGAGGAGTCGCTATTGTCGCACAACCTAAAATAGCGTAGTTGATAAGAGAAGGATTTACGAGAAGCTAGTCACTTCTTCTCTGTTGTTTTACTAAATATGGGGCAAGTTTGAAGGGCGATGAAAGAGGAAAAATTCCCAAAAAGTTGCAAATGTAAAGAATGAATTTAGAAATGGAAATGAGGAGACCCACTTTTGATGAGACAATTTTTTTTTGCGTAGAGCGGTGCCTTCTATATGAATTCTCAGCTCGACCTCATCATAACATATACGCCAGAAAAAAGTTTTCAGCAATCTACATCTTCTAGATTTCTCAATCACTGAAAACTAGTCTGATGTGTTCGCAAGAAGCACTGAGCAATGTGGTGCGAAATGTAAAATAAAGGTTTGGGTGATTTGCATTCATTCAATCCAGCTTCGGGAAGGGTCATTTCACTCCGGTTCCATTCAGAATTGTAGTTGCATAATACTCAGTGGGCTTAGGCAAGGACTTGTGCAAACCAGCCATGTAAAAGCCAGAGTTCTTACCCTTTCGGACGAATTTAGCTCCCAAAGCTGAAGGGATGGATGGGATGGAAAGGATGATTGACCTGAATAAAGATTTGGGATTCGACGCCGGAAAGTGCGTATGTTTGCACGACTTGCCACTACATCACCCTCTCCATTAAGTCAAAATAACCGGAAATACATCTCATTTCCTTAGAAACCGTGTTCATATCACGTAAGCCATCCAATTAAAAAGTGGAATCAAACATGAATCGAACCTCATATATTGGTCTGAATACATCTTTTTAGAATGAAATTTCTCTCACCACAGTTCGAAAAAGTTTTGAACTAAAAGTATAGCGTCGTTACAACATATCACGGTAATCATGGGAGAAATACTTTCTTATCTTCCAATGTGAAGTTCAAAATACGTTACACTGATCTGAGAAGGAAATTTTGGGCTTGGTCTAACAATACTTCATTATTGCATTGTTCTGTGTGGCATCGAAGCCTCATGCTGCTTGCAAAGCTTCCCATCCTCATTCTCTTCTCTGTCCGATCTGACAAATCCAAGATGGAAGATGTGGGAAATGGATCTTGGGCCTGGAAATTCGCCGAGCATTTAACCTTTCTACCTCTTTGAGTTGTGTCGTGCGGATGCATAGCACGATTCTATCCGTAGCTCTACGGAGTGGTAGTCGAACACCGAAAAATCTGAAATGCTCACCCTAGTTCTTCAAACGATAACGCAATAAACGCAAACTCGAGTCTTTTCCGCCTTTCCTTCATGCCTAGGTCAGTTTTTTATTGTTCAATAAAGAATGATATATAATTTGACTCAGCTCGTCGAGCTCGACTAGTTGGTTAATATGAATTTGAAAAACTCGGGCCATCAATGTTTTTGGAAGCACATCATCAGCAACGATGCGCGTGGCATTCGAGCGATCAGGTAATGGCCTACTATACCCTAGCTCTTGAGTTTTTGGACCAGACAGCGTCCTTTCTGTTACCCTTGGGGCAACTGGGAAGTCCTGAGGAAAAATTTAAGAAACCATTTTTATCGTGAACAGTGACTATAAACTGAAGTGGCTTTTCGAACTAAAAACAGCGAATTTGCGGTGTTCTTTAGCTCAGTTCTCTATAGTTTGCAAATTGTATGCCTGAGTTTGAAAAGGAAAGCAATTTTCTGGTACGTGGCATATCTTGATAGGAAGCTTTTTTTTCTTGCTTTTCGGAAACATAGATCATCGTTTTGAACTTTGTGGTCAATCACGGTTAATCGCCTAAAACTGCAGGACACCTATCTCTTTTTTATATAAAGTAAAAGTCTGAAAACCGATACAGTTGAGTTTTCTTCCATACTCCGTCACTCGGCCACCCCATGTTGCTCGAGTGGATGAGGCAACATATGGATTGATTGCTTGCTTCGATGTGCTCCATCTTCGGACACTCTCACAAGATTTGACTTTGTAATGGAATGTGTACAGTCCTTATATGCAACTGTATCCAATGAACCAGATCACTTACCAGGGAGGGGTAGTCTACTTATCTTGGAACTTTGAATT